GTTTATTGAATTATCACTACACTGACATTCAGCCTCTGGAAGCATCTCCTGTTTCAGATAATTAAATGAATCACTGAATGCTGAATCTGACATGCAGATTATATTTTTGATAAATATGATGCATTATTTGTGATGACTTGGGGTATTCATTTCCACTGTAATGACACACCTAAATACTGGATAACCCAACAAAAAACAGCTTGATCTAATAAAAAAAAATCTATACAAATCTAAAAGGTTGGGTATCAGTTACTATCACTGAACGTTTCCCTATTACACCACAACAAATTATTTATGATCCTCACAGATACGTGAATTATGCACTTACCTAGGTATGCATACAATATGTACTAGTATGTTTTTGACTTAGTTAATAGGCATTTTCTTCATGCACTTGCAACCCCAAAATTACAACAGAGCCCCACTTTCTTCACCTGCAGACATAAAAACATGAACAAATGAATAAGGAGATCAGCCATAGGGAGACAGAGCCTTGCTCATTGTTTGTCATTCTCCTTCCTCCTTTATTACACCAGAACCCCAGTATTGAGCCAAGCCATTTCCCCCATAGGAATGTGCTCCTCTCCCTCAAACCTGCCTCTAATCATTTCTGTCGCATCGCCAACCTCCTCTTACCCCCTCCTCTTTCTTTACTGGCACTGTCACAGACATCGACCCTGTCCCACCCCTCCCTCCTTCCCTCCCTCCCTCTCCTCATCCCCCTATCCATCTCATCACATCGACTCCTCCACAGGAGCACCTTTCTCACTCTCCATCCTCCCCATTGTCTCTCCCCACCCATCCCCTCGTGTCCGAGTCAGTGGCCACCCAACTGGGAGATTCATCGCAGCGACCTGGCAGCAACACTGCCAAGCAAGCACGCATGCACGCGCACTCTCTCTCTCTCACACACACACACACACACACACAAATATATCCAGAGAAAAACAAAACCCAGTCATTTCACAACAACAGAGATGGTAAAGAATTGGCGGGCTACAACCTGTTATTTAGCTCTCAGCTGATCATCTTTCTAAACATTATCCACTCAGTAAAGACTAATTTAAAGATGTGAGGACAGGTGAGCTAAATTCCTGTATGCACACACAACATTACCTCTCCAGAGGAATTCAGTGAAGTAACAGTTATTATCATTATGTGGCTACACGGCAGATAAAGCTCCTCAGCTTCCCCTCTTAAAGCTGTTTCTTCATAAACAAGACCGCTAATACAGTCAAAGGAGAACATGGTGCTTCTTAAGATGTTGGGGACTATGATAAGGACTGAGAGGTCCCAAAACTCACCTTCTCTACGTTTTCCACCGTGAAGTCCAGGGCGTCCGGTGTTGCTGCTATCCTCCCCGGTGTCTCCATATCTCCGCTGACACAGAGCTGTCAAATGATCAAAGAGGAGCAACACATTCAGGAGCTGACAGCCACCGTTAAACTTCCTCTTTAACACACTGCCACCGCCAACATATTTCCCCAGCAGCAGCTGGAATGGGCAAGTTAGCTCGACGACATCATAAATTTGAGATGACACAAGATGCTAACCCGGCAAGCTAACGTTAGCTCGCTTAACTTAAGAGCAGGCTAGCTGCCGCTAACATACACTACAGAATACTATAGCAACGGCTAGCGCTGCTATGCTAACGCCAAATTAGCTAACGTAGCAATGCATGTAACTTGACGCTACCCTAGTGCCGAAAGCAGCCAAGCGAGACAGATATACTAACATTTTCAGAGTGTGACAGCATTATCAACACGAAGCCGTCTCCGTGTATTACCTCTAGACTGTCTAGAGGACCGATATTTTCACACCTTTCGGTCCTGCGACGGTTTGAGACGATGCTGGCAGCTCCCTGCCGCTTTTCTGCTTCTGCTCCGTCACCGAGGGGTTTTTGCTACATTCAGGCGTCGTGGGAAATGTCGTAATCGGAGCGTAACTGGTCAAGGACCACCCAACACCACAGTAAATAAAACAGCGATTTTGTAAGTGCCCAAAATATTAAAGGCGGAGGATATATAGAACCTGAAAAATATACTGATGTGTATTTCTATAATTATACTGTATTATTATTCCTAGTTACTTAGTTGCTATCTTACGTTTCGGGTTCGTTTTGTCAATATTTACGGTAAAAGACTCTTTGACGTTTCTCAAATATGAACATTTGAATGCCGCATTCCACCCTCTATTCAATGAAATGTCATCATCACATTATGAAGATGTAGATGGGGCCAGAGGACTTAAGAATATTAACAGTGTCTCACATGTTACTTTAAAACCATCAGATATGAATCTTTAGCAGGAAGGAAACGTTGTTTGTTGGTTACACACCCCATAACCCAGCCAACACTTGTATGTGGGGCCCCTGTGGGTGCTAAATAAGCTGTAAAATAGGCCCTATTTTGGATTGTTCACATGTTCCATATTGCCCCTATGCTCTGGGTGGGTTTCCTCGATTGGGTCCTACATGGATCGTGTTGGGTCTACCTGGGTACAAAGTGGGTATGGGTCCAAAATGGGCATCTTATCTGGGGCCCACTTGGGTAAACCCGCCCATGTGAGCAAGTGTCATGGGGCCAATAAGGAACCTGTGAACAGCTCCATATTGGACCCATTTTTCAGCCCATTTACTATCCACATGTAAATGTTGGCTGGGAAACCCTCCAAATGCATCTTTCCTACCTGAAATTATCAAGATGTTTTTAAAAAAAAAAAAAAAAAAAGCAAAATCAGGCATTAAATACGCATTATACCTCACTCTTATTGGGCAACAGGCTGTGTCTGTACTGGTTCTAATGTGTATCCCAATGTGCACACACTGGTACACTATTTGTATACAATGAATGTGTTATAAAAACAAAACAAAATGTCTCTATTTTCAGTATTTACTCTTTAACCATCAGTTGTTGGATGCTCAGCAAAGCACAGAGCAAACACAGAGCACTGAGTGATTCGGACCACAATGACAACCTCCACAGCTACAAATCAGTGACTAATCCCCTACAGACCCTGTTTGTTAATGACAAGTGACAGAGTGAAACTCAAACACACATCCAGATGTGTTTATAAACAGCAGCAGTAACACACTGCTTTATATCTAACATGTGCATCAGCCAGAGACTGTGTGTAACCTGTGTGGTAGACTGTAGGTGTTGTGTTCACATGAGGACCAGCAGGAAACTGGAAGACTTCAGTGAACACACACACAGACAAACAACAAATAAATAAAGGCTATATCGGATATATGCGGGAAGGGCTAAAAATAGACTTATATATTGACATGTTTCCCATCTATGCAATATATAAAATGTTAAATATAACTGAAAGTATAAACAGTTTCATCAGGAAGAAGTTCCCCTCACAAAGTCATCACCAGACAATGTCAGCCAAAAAGTATTAAAAATTATTTCACATACAGATAGGTATAGATAGGCTAACAATAAGGCAACCAAGTAGAATTGATAATCATTATTGATGACTCCATTTGTATCACTTTGTTGAAAATAAAGCTACCCTTAAAAACTGTAATATCCTGATGGGATGTTAAATTAAACAATTAAACCCACACAGAGCATTTTTATTCTAATCTCTGAATGCTTTCCTGATGTTTACAGTATTATAAAAGTGGAGATAAATGTTGAAGCTTATCTGAATTAGCAGAGGGACTATATAAGTGTCACCTCACTGGAGCTACACCCTCCAGAGAAGTATTGCACTTTGTTTCACCACCTATCTCCAACTAAATGTGTTTTTAAGCCATGACAAGAGTGAGCTGTGGAGCGACAGCGCCACCACGTGGCTCAACTAAGACATCACAGTACAGTGCAACGCCCTGCAGAAAGCGCCAGTCATGCAAAAAAGTAAAGACGACACAGTTTAAGCTTCCGGATCAAGTCAGACACTGAAACAAAATGTTCATTCTTTAAGTGCTGAACAGTAAAAACTTCAGAGTGACAAAAACTCCATGTCGTCCCGGATGTAGGCCAGCAGTTGTTTTTTAAGCTATTTATTAATTTCTTTATATATTTAAAATGTAATGATTTACAAAAATAAACAAATAAACAACAACTATATTTTTTTGTGGTCAAATTTTATTTAGTTTCTTTGCAAAGTATTAATAATAAATCATATATACATAGTCGCACCTCATCTATACATGTCCATATGTTTTACAAGTTTTACATTAGTTGAAACTCCAGAAAAAGATATATATATATAAAAAAAATCACAACATAATGATTTGCAAAAATAAATAAATACTAGGCCACTTCTATTTATAACACTTATAATAATAATAATTTAAAAAATGAAATAAAATGACAGTTTTTAAGACCACACGTCCATGTTTACAACACCAGTGTTCACGCACAATTAAAATAAACATCAAGGACAACACAACATGTCACAGGACGTATTTCCATCGTGGTCCTTGTTATTAATTAATTTTAGAAACATTTAGATAAGAAAAAATAAAATGCATATATTGAAGAGGCCAATAAAACCCACAGCGTTTTTAATTAGCCTACATGTTATAGCCTACTATAATTCATGAATAGTAAATACATATAATAAATAGTATATCTAGATGTTCCTTTACATTCACAACAAAGTCCCTGAGTAGAAATGGTGGAGAAAATAACAGGAGCAGCGTGTGAAGCATGTCTGCACTTTTTCTGATGCGTAAAAATGCATTTTTTATATAAAATAAATATAATTATTTTTTGTTTCTCAATTGCTGTGACTATCAGAGAGGACTGGACTCTGCAGTTTGGGTTGCTGCACAGTATAATAGGCCCACACTGTTGTAGCTGCATGGTTTTCCGTCGTATTGCTGTGCATGCCCTCAGGATCTGTGTGGGTAGGTGTCAGTCTTGCTGCTGAATTACGCGTCATGGCACAGAGTCAGACCCACTGACTATTTTGAACAGGGAACACGTGGCACTGTTTCTGGAGAGAGAGAGACAGAGAGAGAGAGAGAGAGGGAGCAGCCAGGACGCACACACTCCTCCTTCAGTCCCTTCAGCCACGCACACACACTGGCAGAGCTGCTGTCTGCAGTGGGTTGAGCACAGTGCAGCCGCCTGGGATTGTTAAAACTACTCCCTTAAAGTCTGGGATCGGACGGTGAGCGAGAGAGAAAGGCGAGTCAGAGACGAGTCTGGGCCACAGTTTGCTGGTGTAATTTTCTTCCTGTGTAGTCGGAGGACAGAGAGGATGGAGACCAAAGTGTGGATTGGCCTTTGTGCGCTGCTGCTCATGAACTTGGGATCTGCTGAACATGGTAGGTTTAATATGCTGAGTTTGACTGTGGACTTTGGTTTGTTATATGGTGTCAAGGTTTCATTAATTTGGGCTTGACATAGTCATAATGGTTTACTGTACCACACACACACACACACACACACACACACTAATCTCACCTGCCTCCAGGCACCTGTGGTGTCTTAAACAGAGATTTAAGCTGAAGTGAGTTCACAGTCTGAACTTTGTTAACGACACAGTTGAGTGTGAACATGTATCCTCCTCTTGAGTGTTTTCTTTCAACCCTCCTTGAGATCAGAGGCACACACACACACACACACACACACACACACACACACACACACACGCACACACTCACACACACACACACACGCACACACTCACACACACTCTTCCACCTCCAGTCAATATGTTTCAGTCTCATACTGGCCTCGCTTTGTTTCCAAAAAATCTCAGCCTCATTTAAATGTTTCTAATCTGGAGCCTCTACTATTTGTCTTAACAGCCTCACACTTTATCTCTCACATCACTTCCTCCCTCCCCCCTCTCGGCTTCCTCTCTCTGCTTGCATTACATTTACACTCCTCTCACACATCCTGTATTTCACTCTTACCCGCCTTCCGCTTTCTCTCCTACCTGTTCCACTGTTTCTCCTCCTCGTCCCACCTCCTCTCTCCGTCTCCATCAGTGTCTCTCACTCACATAAAAGGAAAATGAGACTATTGACATTTGAGGAGGTTTTTATTGGGCAGAACTGTCCCATCAGCTCCTCCGGCTCAAATTCAAATGAATAGAAAACAGCTCGGCTCCACTGGAGGACATTTATTGGCTGTAAATGAGCAGGGAAGTACATTGTGATAAATGACACCTATAACTATGTGCAGCAGCACACTGTCATTGCACTGGGTTCATGCTAATTGGCTTGCCTTTGTAGTACACTGTGCAGACTTTATGAACAGATTTTAAAGCAGTTCAGTGGCACCGCACTTTCTGAAGTGAATTGATTGCACAGGGCCGAATGTGCATAAACATACAGTATAGAGATGAAATTAAGACCCAGGATGTTAGAGTCAGGGAGAACTTTTGACTTGTTGGTTTAAAACATTCATTTTTTTCCTCTTGTTTCTGTTGGCAGCGACTCAAACCTCCAGCTAAGAACATTTAAAAATATCCAATCTTTCTCTGGTCTGACATGTTACATGGTCAAAAGCCTGATTTTCAACTCAACCAGTTGCCTTTCAATTACATTTTCATACACTTCTAGAGGTTATTTTTCTAGCTGCACGCGTTCATTAACCTGGATGAAACTAATTTAACAGTCTCATAATGCACAAAATATGAAAATAATAAACATCCAACTATTAAAACTTAGTAATGAGCCTATGTAATAATACATAATGGGTAACTTTGTTTTTGCTCCAGCTGGACCATATTTTCCCACGTTTTTTTGTCTGAGTAATCGAGGCAACAGTTTTGAAACTGGTCCAGGACAGAGTGAGACCACTGCAGCTGGGAAACAGGCCACGACCCAGCTGGCACTGGACGTCAGTCTGATGTCAGAAAGACGTTGGACTCTTGGGCTGGACAGATGTAAAATTTTGGTCGGACTGAAAATCTGGTTGACGATATTTCTAATGTCTAACAACATCAGGATTTTACAGTGTGTGTATGTTATCGTTACGACATTTGGCAGAAGTTGGGTTTTATTCTCCAAACCTTACAACTAAATGTTGTTTAGAAGACACTGAATTTTAGTCCCTTAACAGCACAACATTAAACCAACAAAATATAAACGTCTTGAAGTTGGAATTAGACGCTGTCCTGACATTGATTTTTGGTCACCCATCTTCACAACCTAACTTCAATCAAATATCAACGTCCAAAGACACTGGTGGTCAGCTGGGAATGTAACCACCATCAGTGCATGTCTGGTTAAAGTGCTTGTATTTGCCATTGACAGGCTCAGATATTATGGAAAGGATCCCTACAGAGATAGACCTTTTTGTTACGGAGTAAGATCCGTTTTGTTTAACCACAAACAGACCAACATCGCTATCAACACACCCACCAGACTCCATTTAAATAAACAGTAATTTTAGTGTGTACAGAGGCAGCATGTTTTTACATCTAACTGGGTGAATTAAGGGTTAATTTCAACCAAACCAGAGCTGATGATTGTTGGAACAGTAGAAAGACAAAAGGTTTTTGTGAGTTTTAAGTCACTTCTGTCGACTCTGGATTAAATGTGTTGTATGTGGATAAAATTACCATTTTTTTAAATGGAGCCTGGTGAGTTTGGCGATAGTGATTTTGAGACTGTGTTTGGTTAAACAAAAGGATCCTAGTCTTCATTAAAAAAGTCTATCTTTGTCGGGATCCTTTCCATAATCTGGTCAGAGCCTGTCAGTGGCAAAAACAAGCACTTTCAGAGGATGTTAATGCTCAGTGCTGGCCCTTTCTGTAACTGTTGATCCCATCAGTCACTTAGACACAAAAACATGGGACATTAGGGTCGGGTTAAAAAACCCTGAACTTACCCTTTAAAACTCGGCTTTTTATTGTCTCATTTTGTCTGTTATTTCTGAGGATGAAGTTCATTTCCTGATTTACTGGTTATATAATGTTTTAAAGACGACACATTTTGATGTCCTTTAGTTCTCCTGGTTGGATGATTCTTGTTCACAATTCAATATTATATGTGATTAGTTATGTTCTTCTCCAGCAAATGTACAGTGCTTGTGTTCAATGACGCAATAACTAATATAACAACCCAACTACTAACGAAATATAGTGAATTTGTAGCATAATAAGAGCTCGGACTGGAGAAGAAGATGAGACGCCAGAGGCATGATATACAGCTGGAGAGGTCAGACAATGGCTGGCAGTAAACATCTGAAATAAGCTGGGATGAAAAGGCCAAGGGCAGCGTGCACAGAGCTGTCTCCAGCTTTTTCAGTCATGCGCTGTTACACCAGTGCTTATGGGATTTTGCAGTAGCAGTTGGTTGGGTTTCACACAGAAGGCAGTACTGATAGGCGCGTCCAGCACTGAGTGTCGAACATCTGCTCGCAGAGAAACGGTTGGCTGTTCCTCTCGCTGGCAGGGTCAAGAAGTGAGCAGGAGCTGCTTCCCCAGGTACATGCTGCATTGGCCTGGAAAGTAAGACCCTGTAATATCTGGAGAGGGGAGTGGAAACAGTGGTTTTCTTTATGAATCTGCTCTACACACACACACACACACACACACACACATATGTACAGCATACTACTCCAACATTTGACCTGCGCAGCTCTAATGGAGCTAAAGGCCAGTATTTTACAGCTAAGCACCTCTTTTTATTCATGAGTGTGTCTGTTTTTGTGTCATTTAGAGTTCACACAGGTCCCTCGCTCTGTTTCAGTGTGTGTGCTGATGAGCTGAGTGAGTGATTATGGAGGTAATGAAAGGCATCATGGCAGTGTGTCACTGAACGGTAATGACATTACATTACAACAGTGCTCTGGTCTTCATCAAAGGGAAGCAGGTAGAAACAGAAACAAAGACTTGTACAGTAACGAGATTAAGACCAAAGGGGAAATAGAGATAGAAAGTGTCTTCATTAAAGGGATATTACGTCAAAAGCAGTTCTTGTATCTCATGAGGGTTGTAGAAGATGTCATGCAAAGTGAAAGTCAGCCGTTTTCCATTTTGTTTTGTGCTCTGAGATGATGTTCGACAGGAATGCTACTGCGTTGTGTGTCATTAAAAATTCTCAGTATCCATTCAGTGGTCCCCTGAGAGTTGTTTAGATAAATATGAGTCATGACATAATTATCAAGAAATGAAACGAGAAATAAACATGTTTGCTTCACAAATTACGTGTCATTTTTTAAATGGCGAAACTGGATACGTTTTACCTTTTCAGGCCTCTGAAATCATCACACTTAAGCTGAAGTGCTCACAGCTCAAGGGGCCATGAGTGGCTTCATTTTGCATCATTTTAAAAGGTCACGAGCCAAAATGGTTGGGAGCCACAGAGTTTAGCTCCCAGAGCAGAAGAAAATCAGGATTTGCAAAGTAAATACAGTGACTTATCTTCTTATGCAACACTTTAGCAAGACACTAAACTCCTGTTTGCTCCAGTGAAGCAGCTCCCTGATCAATAAAGCACTGTGGATGTACTCAGCATGTAACTCTATAAAAGTGCTGCACTGCTCTGTTGGAAAAAGTCAGATAACTTTCCCCGGATAAATTATGTATGTGTTTACCTTTTATTTAGTTTTCAATGTGGTATGTGTGACAATGGGGCCGGGAGTGCTTCCGCACGGCTCTCACCTCTGACATCTCAAACAAACATGGAGCCTAACAGTGCTAACAATGGCAGTGCTGGCAGAGCTAGTGGTGTTAACCAATGGTTGGGACCATACTTGCCAACTCTAGAAGACTCCTGTTTTTCATTGCACTCTCAATGTCATAATTCTCTTTCTAAATCACAAGCTGTTTCACAGATCACAGCATGTATAAGCCTTATGACTCTAAAGCTTTACTGTCACCTCCCCATTGGTGCTTCATCCTTTCTGCCTCCTACTCCAACCCTCTTGGGCCAAAGAGTGGTGCCTGTTGGGCTGGCATCAGTCAGGCGACACCTCTTCTCCTTGCTGACCATTATCTGCATATAAATCCGACAGTAAGCTATAATGGGGGTTTGAGGAGCGTCTTGGAGGTCGACGGGGGACCAGTCTTGCCCTCCTCTGACGTGGTAGGGTTCCTAGCTTCCCCTTGCTCAGGCATCCGGGACCGTGGGGTGTGTGGATCCTTACAGCCTGGCCCTCTCCCCTCCCTGTACTCTGCTGGGGGTTTCAAAATCCTCCCTATTTTTGAGGTCTCAAGGTTGGCAAGTACCGGGGAGTACCAGAGAGTTTGTACTTTTGCAACACTGTCTCGCCACCGTGGGTCAGGACGGTGTTATCAGTGGTAATTGAAGCGGTGCAGTGCAGAGCCACAGCAATTAGCTAGCCAGTGGGACACACGTGTGCATGCGTAGCTGGCCCGGCTACTAAAACAAAGAACAGAGAAGCTCGTATTACAACACACAGAGATGTAGCAGGACTTCATTCTCTGCTGAGGTCGTCATTACTCCTCTGTATCTTTACACAGCAAATATTTGTTTGCTGCTATATTAATGTGCTTAATGTCATAAATAGGACCTTTAACAATTGTTTGGATAAGATAAGATAAACTTTATTGTCCCGCAAGGGAAATTCGTCTTGGGCAGTATAGTGCAAACAGCTACAATATTCACATACATACATATGATCAACACAGACAAGTTGCCAACATAGTGCGCTGATAAACAGCGGCCTGTGATGATTTATACCCACTCGTAATTGATTCAGACGGTCTCTGAGTGTGCACACTGTCTGTTGTCTCCTGTTTGCGTGGAATAATGAGCAAATAAGCTGCTAATGACTCTGAAGACGTCACCAGAGACTGACCATGATCCAAATTTGGCTCTCCTCATCAGATGGTGACCACACTGCTGCCTCCTCTGCTTCAGAAAGTGATCCTGAGGCTCCATCTGCAGAGTCTGTGCCTGGTTCTAATCCGGACCCCATCCTTCGTACATCTGCTGCACCTTCACTGAGTGACTCCGACACAAGTTCAAACAGCACCAGCAGTTTGAGCAGTAACAAGACTACAGAGGGAGAGAGCATGGCTGTGACTCCTGAACCAACCAAAGCTCATGGTAACTATGCAACTCTGTTTTTTAATCCTGTGTTATCCACCAGAAGAGCACACACTGGGGGACTGATAGTCGACTGAATTAGTCACTTGGCTCGTCAACTCTGTGGTGCAGCAAACAAAGGTGATCTGATAATGTCGTGGGGTTTGCCAGTTGACAAGGTTTGTCACACTTCAGAAGAATTTAGTAGGGAGCCTGGCAGCAGGTGGCTACGAGTTTAGGAGCTATATTTAACAAAGTCCGTATCTCTGTTTTCCACGTCCAGAAGTGGGCCACAGAGTGAGTGAGTGACTGGGTTAAAGTGTTGACAGCCAGCTCAGGGTGGTTTTTAAAAAACTGGAGCACAGAGAAGGAAGGAAACGTCTCAGATGGTGTACGATACAAGTAAAAGAGTAGAATTAAGAAGGTTTAAGGTGATTAAATAAGGTGCAGTTTGCTGTGAGAGTGTTGGTAAAATATACTGAGAGAAAAGGTGGTTGGCGCTGAGGAGAGGAGACAAGTGATTAAATGCTGTGTGACTTTTCACAGGGGGGTGAGAAAGGTAGAAGTGAAATACTTCCCCCCGAGGTACACACACACACTCTCTTGCTCTCGCGCCCTAGATCACAAACACACACAGATGCTGGTTCACACATCAGGCTCATAAACATATTCACAGGACAGGCACATTTTTAGGCACTTTTTTTGTTGTGGGAAAAAACAGTTTATATTGGAGTAGTGTTTGCATGAACACAACTTTAAGGTTGAGATATTTGACTTGTAGTTTTCTGTCTCCACTGCGGTGAATCGATTTTTATTTGTGGTGCTCACAGCATTGAAAATGTACCCTTTAATGACAGTGAGAGTCTACAGCAGGGATACTTTTACAAAACGACAGGAAGCCAGGCACCAGTTCATAAACAAACATAACAATATTTATGTATAATAAATTAATCGCCTGTTTTCACCCTTTTGACATTTGATGTCGGCACTCATCTTTGCCAAAGATCAAATCCAGTAGCAGCACACAGGTGTATGCAGGGGTGTTGCTAGGATTTTAGGACACTCAGGGCTCAGCCCAGACCTCTGTGGGACCAGTGAGTGTCACTGGTCTACAGCCATACTAGGGCTCTTTGGTGCTGTAAGCTACACACGGATGCCAGCGTAACATGAGATTTATTTTCGTGAGGACGTATCCAGTAGATTGTCTTGTTGTTCTCTGTTCATTATTTTGCATCTACATCATTTAATGTTAACTACATTCATATGTTGTTTACGTATTTTATTTTTAAATAGGAACTATTCAATATCGCGCACCTTACGTGTAGGTAATGAGAGTTATGATTACGTTTGGCAGAGCGATATATATATAAGATGTGAGATGCCACCATTGTTGTCGATGTTCAGTTGTCCTACGTTCTTTTTCGGACATTAAAGTGGATCAAGTCACCCAGAGAGACTGTCCCTGTGCCCTTACTTCACCCACAATGCAAACTCTGCACAGAGGGGCTTCCCCACCCCGGGGTTCAAACCCCACGACCGCAGCTTCCAACCAATCACAATCGTTCTGGGCGGTGCCACAGCAACGGTGTGCTTGCAAAAATATTGCCGGGGGGAAACAGGTTTTGGTGTAACACGGCCACAAAAATATCGCCTACAGGACGCGAACCATGGCAGAAAAATGGCTACATCTCCGCAAGAGAAGTTAGTAAAGGACGTGTTGAAAACTGCTACACAACCCGAGGTGGTAGGGCGGGACTTCAGCGGGTGGCTCGTTCCGCCCAATGAGAGGCTGATCTATGCAGCGAACTTCCGCCCACTCAGACTATCCCTAACCTGACAGACACTTCTGAGGGCGACACAGTTTGATGCCGCCTCCTCATAGCGTATTTAATGTAAGCTATTGAGAGTGAAAGTATTGAAATGGACGGCAAATTATTAAAATGTAATGTGTGCATTTTATGTCATGTTTGGGGGCCACACAAAATGTTTCTAGGACCTGACATTGGCCCACGGGCCACACTTTGAGCAACAGCTCACTAGAGGAAAGTGAGAAAATGTTTTAATTGGTGTGAAGTGACAAACATGGCTCCTTTTGGTTTGTTGATTACAAACATACAGTATTTGAGGATGGCAGAAAAATGATTAATGTCCTTCTCTTTGTGTAGGTACCAACACCAGCTCTCCCACAGAGGCTGTCCTTCCTGGAAATGTATCGACAGATCAGTTGACACCACAGCCTCCAGTTCCTCCTTCTGAGATTCACACCACTGCCTCTCCCATCACCCCTGCCCCCACCAGCACCACACACACAACTCACACTGCTACTACAGACAAACAGAGCCCCACACCACCCACAACACCACATGCGGCAGTTCCACTTCCTGAAGTTACAGCATCAAACCAGCCCAGTCACAACGAAACACACTCGTCCACTCATGTCCCGACACCTGAGCCACCAAAGCTCAAATCTACAACTGCTGCTGTCATCGCTCAGACTAGCTCAACGTCCAGCTCCTCTCAAGAGCCCCCCAAATCTGAGTCCACGACACTCGCAACACAACAAACCACATCACAGTCCGACGAACACCCTCCGACCACCAGCAAAGCCGACCTAAAGACCACCATCACCCAGACGACCAGCCCCTCCGCTGAGGCCAGACTCCACGCCAAAACCCCCTCCCAGCTCAACGTTGGGGGTGACCGTAAGTGCACGATGTCTCCTGTGTTTGTGTATGTATTTATTCAGCCTGGATATTAACAGAGCCACAAGTGAATTGGCTTAATAACAAAGGCGATGCTGTTCGTTGTTTTCCAGCACAAACCAGTCCTCGCCTCTACACACACAGACACAAACACACACCATGCAACCCCCCCGTCTACATCTTCTACAAGCACTGTCACCACCAAGCACTCCACAATTATGGCTCTGTTTGGGAAAGGCAGTCATGGGACCGGAGGCCTCAAGACTGCTCTGTTTTCTTTCTGTCTCTCTCCCCTCTGTCTGTCGGCTAAACGATTCAAGTATCTACAGTAAACGTTTCTCTATCGACGCTCCACCTTGAGAGGACTTTCACCAGGATGTTTGGCTCAGTTCAGTGTCATCGAAAAAGAAAGAAAACCTCGTCGACTCTTCTCAGTCGACCAGCCTGCTTGGATACAGTTAACATATAAAATTCTCTCCGCTTCTCTCACTCTGTGTGGTTTTATTAGGCCACGCTTAGTTGGCATCTCGCCTCTTTCCATTAGCCAGAGGAACAGGGAGCATTCACTGCTCTGTGGTGGTTGTTACTTTCAACCAGAGGATGTAAAAAAACCAGCAAAGTTTACAAAATAGTCTTCCATAGCAACACAATGAAGCACACTGCCAAAAACACAATCTCTTCCTGCACAGAAATATACAAACACAGAGAGACATCAACATAAAAGGTAAAGAGCGATGGTGTTTAACAGCACTCTCAGAGAAAAATAAAACACACTGAACTTTATACACAAACGATTTTTAAACCACAAGAAATTCTGAAGATAAAACTTAAAATTTTGCCCCATGAATACGCTCACTTTCCCAACAGCGAGCTCAAGTACAGGGACGCTTAACATCACCATCCTGTGTTTGACATTTCTGTCCAGAGCTGCATGATGAACACTCAAGTTCAACATGCTGCTGTTTAGTCTATATTTAGTCCCAGTCGCAGCTTTAAACACGTTAAGGACCAAGTTCTGCCATTTGCACCACGTTGAGGGGACAGTTCACCACCAAATCAGAAATACATACTTCTCCTCTTATCTGCAGTGATGTTTATAAGTGTAGATAGTTTTGGTGTGAGCTGCCAAGTGTTGGATATATGAGCTGTAGAGATGTCTGCCTTCTCTCCAATATAAAAGAACAAGGTGACACTCAGCTTGTGCTCAAAGTGCCAAAAAAAATGTTAATGACAATGTTAGAGCTCAGCCCAGGAGGATGCCATGATGTTTTCAAGAGCGTCCTGTGCATGAATAGATAGATGTAGACTTCCTTCTGCGCTTTGATACGGAGGCAGGAGTAGTTCAGTAGGAAGAAAATAGTTCCTACATTTTTGTGGCATCTAGTTCCATAATATTATATTTCTACGGCTGATATCTCCAACACTCTGCAACTCACACCAAAAGAATCAAGACTGAAAAACAGCCCTACAGGTAAGAGGAAAAATGTGTGTTTTAGATTTTGGGGTGGACTGTCCCTTTAAGTCAAAGTAACCTCCATCTTTAATGGTGCATTGGCAGCTTGTGTTCTTGGTCTACAGCTAGATCAAGAAGAAACCTGCTCAAGTATCTCCTGTTTTTTGTTCCAGCAACGATGGTCCTTGACTCTCCCACATTAGACCCCCTCCTGGCTGGCCTGGTGTCAGCCTTCATCATCACTGCCGTCATCATTACTCTGCTCCTCTTCCTCAAACTGCGCCGGAGAGACAACCGACCTGAGTTCCGCAGGCTGCAGGACCTTCCTATGGTGAGCACGTCCGTGACATCCAGGAAACACTTCCACTGCTGTCTGCGTGGAAGTGTTTAATCTGTCAGACATTTTTGAGCACTGACGTGAGATATTAGAGGTGTGGACACAAGTCATGTGACTTGGACTCGAGTCAGACTCAAGTCTCAAATTTTCTGACTTGGCAAAACCCAAAAACGCTTGCAACTTGACTTGGATTTAAACACCAACGACTCGTGACTTCACTTGGACTTTTGACTTAAAAATATTTGATACCTTCCCCGAGGCCCAAAGATTAAAAAGTACGTAATTTAAAAAGTGTGCCATTAGTCAATTCATTTCCCTTTCAGTCATTTCCTGAATTAACTAATGTTTATGTTCATTAGCATGCAGTAACAAACTGTATCATGTCAATATCAACATTTTTTTTCAGTATGAGATGAGTTAAACACACAAGACAGGACAGAAACATTCAAAAAATTCATTTTGTTGTCGTACTGCTTTATAGTGAAATATCACTTTTACGATTAAGTTTAGTTGCACTTGTTTTAACAACTAAATACAGGTTTCAAAAAGCATTCTTTAAATGCACTTGGTGATGAGTGCATTAGAACGTGATTAAGACTCAAAACTCAAAGTTTAAGACTTGGGACTTGAGTGCAAAGACTTGAGACTACTTGTGACATGCAGTTCACTGACTTGCTCCAACCTCTGTTAGATATACTGTTAAAACTTACCGGTACAATGATATTATATGAGTTGTAATCCATGGCTTTATTAATGGTTAATAGATATTTACTAAAGATGTTTGTAGATAAAGAACAGAACAGCTTCTGGGTTTCCAAGTTGGGGTTTATCCTCCTCCAGCAGGATCCTTTATGTGTTTACCTCTAACTCATCAGAAAGACTTCAATGAACATTTAACCTCAGACTTCATGGACATTTTTTTCCCATCTTAAAGTGCAGACTTAATGGATAATGGGCAAATATGTTCATTTGCTTTCTTGCCCAGAGTTAGATGCGTAGATTGATACCTCTCTCCTAGACGAGAGTGGTGTGAATCTTCTCCTCTAACTCTTGCCAAGAAAAGGAATAAAAGTATTTACCAAAAAACGTCTGACTACTCTTTTGTCAGCAGCCCTGGAAATGTTTTACAAAGTTGTTCTTCTGGCTCAGCTGATCTATAACACATTAAATATGATTACTGACCATCAATTAAAACTCACTAGTCCATAGCCATTGGTAGCTTTGTCCCCTTCTACCTATGCCAGTCCTCAATGCCTATGTGCAGTTTCACATAGATTGACCACGTCAGTGAGTAGAAAAACGTGGGACAGACAGAATGACTGACTGACAGAATGACACACTGACAGTTTCCGTGATTATGTACAGCATACCATACCATGACTTAGTCATACCAAACATTAGAAAACAACACCAACATTGGTCCACAGGGGGAGCCACAGCGATCGGTCGCATTTTAGCCATTTTGAAGCATTTTTCTGTTGTTATAGCGCCACCCAGTTGCCAATTAGAGTTAAATTTCTCCAGTCACCTTGAGGCGTCCTGTTCTACATATCTACCAAGTTTAGTAAAAATCCATATGGCGGTTAGGCCTAGATAAGAAATGAGCTCTCTAGCGCCCCCATTTTGTTTGATGGGGTCAATAATGGAGGGGTCCCCTCAGATTATGTGTGGTCATATGCCTACAAAGTTGCGTGGTGATGGGTGAAACCCTTGAGATGTTATACACCTTTATGTGATGAGCCACGCCCTCCGCAATATTCATTGCCTTATAGAAGCTCAGTTTTAGTAAGTTTTCCAACTTTTGCCAAGAGGGAACTTTAGATATTGGTCCCTAGATTATGTTCACCCAGTTTCATGCAGATCGCTCAAACTTCCTAGGAAGAGATCCATTTGAAGTGTTTTTCAAAAAATTCAAAATGGCGGAAAATCTATATAAGCGGAAGTTATGGCAGAGATATTGGATAAAGGAGATACCCCACCGTAGGCTTATCCGTCGTTAAGAAAACAGTTACTCTTCCTGTCTCCTAAGTGGGCGTGGTTAGCTCTCCCTCCAATCAGAGCCTGTTCTCCCTCAACCCCCCCCTCCCCACCACCGTGTTGAACAGAGGCTCTGTGTATGTCTGTGTATGCGGATTGAGAAGCAGGTGGAATGAAAATAAATTCTTCCTATTATTGCAGCCTATTGCTGCACAAAGCTTGGGCATTTTTTATTTATTACTAGCGGTAAATAACTGTTTGTAAGCTAACTGTGATTTTACCGCCTGTTTATCAAGATCACAAGATCTCGCGAGAACTTGTTTTCTGAGACGGACAGGGCTCAGACAAAGTTAATTTTCTCTTGATCTGTGCGGATGAAAAATGCAGCTTTAGTGTTAGAATGTTGGTGAGATGTGTGGCTTGTGGAAAATGAACCCAATATTTACTTTAGTGACTATAGGGCGAAAGAATTGACCATAAATTGTGATCACGTTCATTTTCCTCATTGACGGCAATACATTCAGAGCTGCCGCAAGTCTCCTACGGGGGCGTGGCGCTGATGTCACTGAATCAGGAAGTGAGCTGAGTGGGGTATCTCGGTTCATCCAGTATCTCTGGTTATGGGTTCTTGAGGCAAATGTGTTCCTCATGAGGAGAGGCATCTCTGTGCAAAGTTTCATGTCTCTACGACATACGGGGCATGAGATATGCCCATTCAAAGTTTGACATTTCAGTGGGTTGCTATAGCGCCCCCCTGTGGCCAATTGATGTAATATTGCTTCATTGGCATCCTCCCATGACCCTCTACCACTGTGCCAAATTTCACATGGATTGACCAAGTCAGTAGTCAGGTTTCCATCCACCTATTTTTATTCACATTTTCAACAATTGCGAAAAAAAACTTGAATGGAAACGCCAGAAATTCGAAAAAAGGCCGAAATATCACAAAAAAAAGGTTTTTACGCTTGGAGGAGGTGGAAAAGCGTATCGATATTAGGAAAATGCAACTTTTGGCAATGGAAACAGATTTAGTGAATAAACAATGACGTAGGCTACCGGATCCTACTTCTACTTCACACACACACCTGTGTGAACTTAGAGAGAGGTAATTACTCCAGTGTCAGGTGAGTGTATTTCGCAGCTTACCTGAATAGACTGGACGTGTTGAATACCGCTGCATCATTGCGCGCTGCCTGGTGAACCAACACAGACATCACGGCATTATGTAGGCTACGCTGACAACGCTGATATGAGTGTGATGAGAGCTCTCGCAATAGCCAAGAAGTTCCCAAGGAATCTCGTCGTAGTCATGGATGTGCCAGTAATTGTTTACATCAATTGTGGACATTAGACGCTCTCAATGACGTCATCTCACGGCGCCCTCTTCTTCTACGGTGCTCTTTTGCATTTTTATTTTTCATGAGAAGCGCCACCTTCTGCTCGACCTGTTGACTCCCAATACTCGCAAAACAATAATGAATAGAAACGTGCATATATTTGCATTTTCTTTTGCGCATTTTCACAAAATTCGCTTAAAATTTGCGATACATTTGGATGGAAACCCAGTTAGTGAGGAGAAAAATGTGGAACAGACACACACAGAGTTTTCGTCATTATATAGTAAGATAAACCTTGCCGTGTCTCATTTGCCACAAAATCTATAGTATTGTGTAAATATTGAGCACTTGTAGACATGCTGGCATATAATACGTATATTAGCCGTGTATAATTAGGTGTGTTTTTCCATTTTCATTTGTGTAGGACGACATGATGGAGGACACACCTTTGTCCATGTACAGCTACTAATGGAGGCTCAAGTGAAACGTTTTGGCGCCCAAATATTCTCCATGAATCCAGGCTCATGCTGCAGCGGTCGTTGAACCTGACCTTTCTTCCTTAATCTGCACCAAACAGAAAGAATGCTGGGTAGGTGTGAGCAAACATCTGGATCGCTTTCATTTATCTGACATGTAGGAAAGGACGTGATTGAAGCTGCAATGGACAATGAAGATGTATCGCCCATGTAGGGCTCGTTTTGGCAAAAGTCTATTTTGGTGCCTGTAATTATGAATTAGGCCGACACCTCTGTTGAATACTGTATGCTTAATATTTTTCAGCCCTGCTTTTGGGGTGTGGGAGTTGTATAATATATTTTGATTTCCCCAGAGTTGAAAAGGGTAAAAGCATCATTTGGATGGTTCTCACCTGGACGCAGATCCAGCCTGTCCTGCCAGACTCTTACCTGGGGGCACTGGTCTAATTTCCCTCTTATCACTTAGTGTTAGAACATCTGGCAGTCTGACTGAGAGGCCAGAAACAGAACATAACAAATGGCCTGATTATAGTGTTAAAAAGTTGCACTTTACTTTTTCAGGAGTGGAAAAAAAGGACAAATATTTTTGTGTATGAGAAAAATTGAGTTTTGTGTGCATACATAGGTGCAGGCTGTGTGTGTTTGTCGGTGTGTGAGTTTGTTAAAGGTGCATGTGTGGATCTTTGAAGGCGTGGCAGGGGATATTTAAGCGTTTTCTTTTTTTCTTCTTCTTCTATTGTTTTTAATTTCTGTGTTGAAGGTCCTGCTGCCTTTTGGCCTGATTTTGAAATGTGCAGTGTGTGTTTTTTTTGTGTCTTTCCTGGAGTCTTGTGTCCAGGGGAGAGTGCCTTACACAGTATAGGAACAGCTCTTTATTGAATACTGTATTTATATTCAGACTAACTTCCAGATTTACCCATCATTCCCAGCGCTTTGTGTGATTCCAATTGAAATGCGCACTCAGGCCCAGGTAGCTGCTCTGACTTGCCTGTGTTTGAACACTAGCCTTGAGCATGTTCACCACTCACTCATACGATGACAGTTGCAGACTGAAACGGGCCCAGTGGCCTTTCCACACAATGTTGGCATTGTCCTGTGCGTTGTAAATACTACTGATGATTGCGTCATTCAGAGACAAACTCTTCATCTTAGTTGCTGCTTAAGCGTTCACCAGGCACAAACGTATTGAAAGTGTTACATGGGACTGATCTGACGGCACCTTGTTCTCTTAGTAAGTTCACAAATATTCCATTGATTATACTGTGTGTCAGCCTCGCTGTGTGTGTGCTCTGCAAACGTGCAGGATAATGTGAGCGGGAGGGAGACAAACAGGATGACAGAACAACCCACGTGGATAGAAATCAATTGGAGCTGATACTTGTGTTCACTGTTTAATCTCTGTGCCATGAATACGGCAGATGGGTGACAAATTAAAGGGAAAATCAACATAAAATGTCTGAGTAGGGTGTTGGGACCCCTGAAGATTAGGGCTGGGTATCGGTACTGGATACTTTAAAGCTCCAGTGTGCAGGATTTAGAGGGACATATTGGCAGAAATGGAATATAATATAATCAGTCTGTTTTCTTTAGTGTGTAATCACCTGAAAATAAGAGCTGTTGTGTTTTTGATACCTTAGAATGAGACGTTTATATCTACATATGGAGCAGGTCTTTGTCTACGGAGTCGGCCATGTTGCACCGCCATGTTTCTACAGTAGGTCAGAACAGACAAACCAAACACTGGCTCTAGATAGTGCCACTGGTGTTTTCACGTGGGGCAGCGTAGTTAGCAGCCCCTCAGTGATGAGCAGTGTAGAAAAAAAAAGATTTTCCTTAAACTTGAAACTGCTCTACTCAGTGTTTTTTACGGTTTAAATCATCAAGTCTGTTTGTTTTAAAGAGGAAGAGACCTCTGCGGACAATTCAGCTATTGGTGAAAACCTCCTGAACGTCTGGGTCTAAAGCAAATAGTCATAAAATCCTCCTAATACGTCACAGAGATAGTAGATAGTACAGCCAGAATATTCACATTTAAAAAAAAATTTCCGATCTGCAAATCATGTTTATGTTTTGAATTTGTGTTTTGGCCTGTTGCGCCACCCACCGCCGTCTACCAATCACGCAGTCAGTAGAGTCTCAGCATCAGTTAAAGTTACGGCTGAGCTACAGCAGCACGGCAAGCAGCATTAGCAGTGTCCCAGTACATAGCATTAGCAGTCTCCTCAGCTGTATCCCGGCAGCAGCGTTAGCAGCAGAGAAGCCGGACTTGCTCGAATGGTCCGCTGGAAAACCGAAGATCAAGGACGCGGCGACGCGGCCCTGCCACGGCAGCCGCCCATGGGCAAACAAATCAGTCTCCAGCGTGCCGCTGTCCAGCAACCTTGAATCTGTAGGGGAGGGGGGGCGGACACGACTCACAGCAGTATTTTGAATTTGAGTGCAGTAACCGTTTTGGCCACATTCTTACATACAGCGCCTTTAAGTTATCCGAGAAAACAGATTAGCACACATTCACAGGTGCTAAGCTAGCGGCTTGGCTGTATGTGCCAAACAGCGTTAGAGAAACACTGATTTGTAATGTGAGACTGCTTCATTCAGTGTTTCTACCTGTTTTAATCACCTGATCTGTTTGTTTTAAAGAGAAAAAGACCTCTGTAGACAATTCAGCTATTGGTAAAAACCAACTTAACGTCTGGATCTTAAGTTATCAGAGAAAAAAGATGAGCACACATTAAGAGGCACTGGGCTCGCAGCCTGTCTGTATGTGCCAAACACCGATTTGTAATCTGAAACTGCTTTAGTCAGTGTTTCTGCCTGTTTTAATCACCTGGTTTGTTTATGTTGGAGAGAAAAAGACCTCTGCAAATAATTCGGCTCCCAGTAAAAACCTCCTGAACAATAAACGCTAAAGGAAATCTAACTGGGAGAAGATTCAGCTGGTTGCAATCTGCAGTCCTCACTGCTAGATGCCACTAAATCCCCTTAAATCTTACACACTGCTCCCTAAACGTGTTGACTGAAATAACCCAGTACCACAGAGTATCAGAACTTCTCCAGCTAAGCGATACCTGCATTCAGTCCTTGTTGCACCCAGATCTAGAAAAAAAGAGTATTTGCATGGTTTTTCTCGCAGCCAATCACCACAAGCGATTTTATGTGACGTGTTGTTGGCCCACTGCTGCAGCAGCTACAACCCGTGGTGAAGTCGAGCATGGTGTAGGATACAGAAAAGCCAGTTCAGAGTGCTGAGATTCCACCATAACATTCAACAGTATGGGTATACTACACAGCACTGCCTTCACATGATGGGTATCGAATGAAGTAGAAACAAAAGAAGGTGTCACTGGTTTTTTAAACAACACTCAGCCCTACTGAAGGTGATTTTCCTTTTGTCACCCATCTGCACGTCCACTTCTAAATTACACACTTGAGATTTCCGATATTACTGTTAAAAATTCTCTGTACGTATCCCGAATGCATAATGAGGCTTTGCTGCCAGATGTGGATTATGGACTGTTGGTGTTTTATGATTAAAGGTATTTTGAAACCATCCTCTGCATTTCAGGTCTCGCTCATTAACGATGTTTGTTTCAGTCTGCTCTTTGACTGCAGCGCCAACAAACAAAACCCAGAAGAACGCAACACTGATGTATAGAAACTACCACAAAAAGTCACACTTCTCTCTTTCAACTTTTACACAGACTTTTATTGTTGGAGACAAAACACGAAACATTTCCTTACAGGCCTTCAGCGAATGAATCAGTGCACTGCTTTACTGCAGCGCCACTGCACAATACTTGGCAAATGCAATAAAACTGCAGTAGAAGGGTCTGATTCATCGGCCATTATCCAGCCACAATACCAAATAAATGAGCCTTTTCTTCATTAAATGTCTCTTCAACCACAATATTAACAGCTATACAAAGACAGCATGGTAGAAAAGGTTTGTTTAAATCCTGCTCCGTACTGCTCTGTACCATTTACGGTTTTCTACAAGCTCGTTTATTGCTCGCTGTTGACTAGCGAGACAATGTATCTTGTTAGATGAACTGGATAGAGTCTGTAGTCAGACCCACCCAACACCTAACCTGCCCATCAGCTCCTTGGAGGCTCTGCACTGTGGTCTGGGATCCTCCATGGGGGGTGTCTGGATGCTGAAATATTGAACAGCTTGACAGCAAGCCTGACGCAGCGACTCATGTTAGACATGACAGCATAAAGAGACTCTTTACGGTCTTAACGGAGCTGTGTGTGTATATAAAGACGCTGCAGAGGAGGTTGGTGTCTTGTTAATGGATTTTTGATTCCTCTTTGTCTTCACTTCAGCTGCATTACCAGGAATAAAAAAAAAAACTCATCCCTCATCAGATTTCTCCTGGACTGAAGAGTGCATTATGTCAGGAAGGAAGGAAACCCCATTAAATATCCATTACTGTGCTCCACTGAAGAGTGTAGCTTACATAATACATGATCAGCACAACTTTAAAACTTACTGTGACTCTTTACAGTTGATGTATTACTGCACATCAAGTGATCAAAGCTCGTCATAGTGCAAATTCATACAGTTTAAGTCATGACAGAAATGAGTAAATTGAAACTATGGTTTACCTTAAATAAAGTGTCTTTAAATTTAAACAAAACTAAACGTATTTTGTTTGGAAACCACAGTACAGACACAGAAGTACAGATCACATTTGATAATGTTTAAAGAGTCTTTGAAACTAAATTTTGAGTGTGCTTTCAGACGACAAAATCTGCTGGAAACCTCAGATCAATTATGTAAGAACAACGCTGGCAAAGAGCATCGCAGGTCTGGGAAAACAAAACACGTACTGGACCATAAATCACTGCACATTCTGGATTCATCGCTTGTACCACCTTATTTGACTTACTGTGGGGACGTTTGGTGCAACACTTACAAAAGCAACTTACAACCATTATACATGCTTTAAAAGACAGTACTCAGTGTGGGGTACAGGGAACACACCAACAACAAATTTTTTGATTTGGTCAAACTTAAAACGGCAATAATCATGTTTAAAGCGAGAAATAATTCACTTCCAGGCAACATCAGAAAATGATGTGACAGGGACCCAGGCCCTGGAGGCAGATCTGATTCAACACTGGGAAGAATATCCATGCCATTACGATGTGTCGTCACCAAGTTAAAAAACGTAGTTTGGTGACGTCACCGCGTTATCTGGGGCTCTGTCGGCGAGGGCTCGGTGGAGAAATCTTGTGGTGTGCACACACAGGTCGTAACGCAGTTGGCTAGACTCCTGCTGACAGAAACACGTCGCCAGGTATGAACGCTCAAAAGATTACGACAGTCTCTGCGACATAAAATCGGGGTGAAATCGTGTAATGTGATCTAGCCTGAAGACATGTCACCATATCAAGAATTTAGTAGATACCAATACCCGTGCAATTCCACAATTCCATACCCAAGAAAAAAAATTAAAAAACCCACATGTACTTGAACTAGGGTTGTCAATTGATAAAATATTTAATTGCACTTAATCGCCAATTAATTAAACTTGTTTTATCTGTTCTAAATGTATCTTAAAGTGACATTTTTCAAGTTTTTAATACCCTTTTCAACATGGGAGTGAACAAATATACTTGCTTTATGCAACAGTATATTTAGCACTATCACAACAATCCATAACAATGACAAATACTGTCCAGAATATTCTCCAGAATAACCTCAGAGGCACAGCATGCTCATATGTTGAAAGCATACCATGGCAAACTCATCAACCATCAAGCAGCAACAGATGGACATATTGACTGAATGTTTCTTAAGTCATACTAACACAATGTAAAGATCAACCAAATATCCCCCGTTTTTTAAAGCAGCTCGACATACTCTGGTGGTAACTGAACTCATATTGACAGTTAATGTAAATAGCTTTAGTCTAACTTCAGAGGGAACCATCTGGCACTACTCTGAGCTGAACTTGCCATTTAAATGACCCCTTTCTTTATCTATTTCTGCTCATGGAGGTTTGTTCCTGCTCGCCATCCACAGTGTTACTGCTGCAATGCTTCCTGAGTTCCCAAACTACAGGGTGGGCCAAGGGTTAATTATAATTACAGAACGTACATGTGTTAATCATGCATTAATAAAATTAGCAGCGTTAAAAGGACTTTGGGTTAACTCGTTATTAACGTGTTAACTTTGACAGGCCTAACTTAAACATAACTTAAAAACCCATACAAACTGAATTTAAATGTTATTATTTACCACTGAGGATCTGCTTTGAAGGCAAAGTACTAGTCTATGTGGGTTTGTGATTTTGATAGACTAATACTCCACTCTGATGGGTTTGGATTTTCAACTCTTGGTGATCAGAAAAAACACCAAACATGCAGCGCTCAGTGCAGAAGAATTAAAAACAGAATAATATAAAAACTATGCAGAAAAAACAACTTTTTGATGAGTTAAGTCGGAGCTGTGGCTGCAGCTTCGTCTGGTCAGCTACTTCCTTTGGCATTTAACAACAGACTATAACACTTGTAGGCAAATATGCTGCCTGTCAGGTCTGAAAGAACTGCATCCACTGTACCTTCGACAGTGGAGAGAAATGAGTGCCAGCACTTACTTAAAATGGCACTGCCTTGGTACCAAAGTATTGGTTCTAGTGACATCCCTACTGTGAGTTGCCATGTGCATCTACTCATGTACGAGGGACTCACATTTGTGACAACATGATAATCATTAATGGCCTCCTCCTCAGCTGAGCTGTAACTTTAGCTAGCTCAGTGGTGCTGGGTAAGCTAACAGTAAATGTATGCTTCCTTCTGCGCAGTGATACATTTGGCAGGTGTAGTTTGGTAGAAACAAAGTAGTTTCCTGCATGAAACTGCTCACAACAAGGTCTGGGGATTGTCTCAAGTAAGCGTGTCATGATTTCTGGAAAGAGATCAGAAATGTATTTTTTGACGCTTTAAGCACCACAAGCTGAGTGTCATGTAGTCCAATACACTGGAGAGAGGGAAGACATCTCTATGGTCAGTATCTCCAAAACTCTGCACTCACACCAAAACAATCTAGGCTGATAAACAGCACTACAAGTAGAGGAAAAATATGTATTTTTGATTTAGGTGTGAACTGTTCCTTTAAGGCAATATAAGCACACTGTGGGCTCTGACTTTGCTAATAAAAAGCAGAGTGGTGTTCTTATGGATCTCACTGTCGTTACGGGCAGAGATGAAGGTCCTGCACATTTAAACTACACCAAAACTTTACCTAACCCCAACCATCTGTCATCATAACAACCCTACACATAACTATTTTAAACTCTTCTGCCTGAAACCAAACCTTGTGGTTTAATGGACCAATCACAGCGCTTCTGTCCTTCACTCTGGCAGGACCCATAATTTAGTGTCAGTGATTCGCAACATGGGTACAGAGGGTGTGGCAAAAGCAACTGATTTCCAAATTTCGTGGCCAGAGGTTCAACCAGTAAAGCTCACAGTGAGAAATAAAGCTTACAAAACTGTTCTGTGCAGACAGCAATGTGCAGAAAACAGACTCTGAATGTGAAGCTCTCACAAAGAATCCTGCTCAAACAGCTGCCTGTCTCCCCAGTTTGTTCCCAGCATCAAACCAGTCTGTGCATGTGGAGACAGTTACAGATTATTTAAAGAGGATATGCAGCTATCACAGTCCTCAGCCTCCAGCAGGTATCACTAACCAGCCTGACGACAAACAATGCTCAATCTTTTGGTGGTTTGTTTCAACACAGTTTGTTAGCAGGAGTTTGGGTGTGTCACTTGGAATCAGACAGTTTAAAAGGATAATCAGACGAGCAGGGAAAAATCAATCTGAAAAGAAAAAAGTGGTGATTAACTTGTAAGTCTGACACTGTGCAATCTGTCACTAACTCTTCTGGTTCTCTCACAAAGACATGTTTAAAAATAGCCTTTGAGAAATCCCCTCTGAAAGTTTCCCCAGTAGTATGAACTTTGCATCACATATATCTAAGCAGGCCCGTTAAGCAACACTAAGCAGGATGACTTAATTACTTGTTAAATGCATGTGCATCTGTTGCCATGCCAAGTCTTCTGTTTGCCATCCTTTGTTTCCTCTCCCTTTTCACTTCCCTTGAGACCACAAAGGAAATATGCCATATGGCTGTTTGTGTTAGCCTTTTTCTATTTTTAAAGTTTCAGTTTTCAGAAGAGGACTGTAACTCTAAACTGGACTGATCAGATAAAATTAATAACACATTTCAGGTAGTGTACTGGAGAAGCTGGGACAAATGTCTTTATGTTGCTGACTCCTTTTTTAGTCAAATGACACAACAGTCACCTTATAAAAGGTCAGAGATCATTGAGACTGAGGTCAGATCCTAAATCTGGGTTCACATCTTCACCAAGGAGATCATCACCATCATCGTCATTGTCATCATCGTCCTCCAGATCCGATCCCGGACCAGCAAAGTCGCTCCGTCTGGACTGAACGCTCAGACGCACTCGCGGCTTCTGATGAAGAGCTGGCAGAGGTGAAGAGCAGAGAAGGAGCTTTACTTTGTGTGTGTGTGTGTGTGTGTGTGTGTGTGTGTGTGTGTGTGTGTGTGTGAGTGAATGAGTGCCTCTTGTGGGATTAGGCTGGAAGACATTCAAATGTTTTCCCATAACAACTCTGCACCAGTACGAGTGTGTGTGCATGTGTGGATACAATTGTCAAATTAGCCCGGCTTCTTGGGCCCAAATCACTCTGGGAAACATTTAGAGCAGAGATCGTAATCTCTTCCGGGAACATCAACCTTCTGTTACAGTAAGTCTCAGGGGTGAGCAGCGCACACGCTCACACACACACACACACACACAAACACAAACACACAAATACATAAGGTACCAAATTTCCCAAGAAATGACTGGCCTCGCAGCAGAGGCTGCTGGAGAGGAAATGAGAGCTTTTACTGCTTTATCTGCACATGGAGGAGCTGTGGGTCTATGACTTCGCTCAAAATGCTGCTCTACATCTCCAGATTTTATTAATTTTAACAGTTTCTTTCATTCTGGTGTCTTTACACACTCCTCTGCCTTCAACATGGAGCACCCTTTTGTGATATATTTAAAAGGAATAGTTCAGCAGTTTGGGAAATCACTTATTCACTTTCTTGTGAGTGAGATAAGAAGATCGATACATGGAGGAGACAGTTAGTCTCGCATAAAGACTGGAAACGGGGAAACAGCTTGCCTGGCTAAATATAAAGGTACCAAACTGCACCTTCCAGCACCTCTGTATCTCACTAATTAAAACATGATCATTACTACAAAAAGACTGAAATCCAAAAAAACACATCGTATTAATACAGGGGCTACATGCAGGACTATTTCTAGGCTGGCCGCAGTGACTTCCTGGATTCCTGTCGTCACTGTGATGCTGCAAGGGAACCAGCAGAGAATCCTGAACAGATGTTACAGTGGTATCGATCCTCTCATCTGACTCTCAGTATAGAATAAGCACATTTCCCAACATCTCAACCTAACCGTACGCTGAAATGGCAAACAGTGACGAGTGCTGAGTCAGATCTCCTGGGATGAATCACTGAAGGTTGAGCCAGATGTGTGGGGGAGAGAAAGGAGGGGAAACTGAACGTCTTGTCTTACTAAAGCTGACACCAGTCTGTGTCCATCTGGTGCCCTGTGTAATGTTCTCTCTTGGTTGGAGCGTGTGATCGAAATAGTCAGAACAAAGGGCTTATGAAAATGATATGACGAAAACACATAGTGTTGGATGACTCAGCACACCGTACTTTGTACTTTAGTACCGGGAGGTGCACAACTATGCGTGAGTGCTTTTTTCATTCAGTCATCCTCACCAGAGTCTTTGTCATCCAGCCATGACAGGTCATCTGAGCTGACCTCAGCCAGGCTCGGGGTCGGGCTGAAGTCTTCAGAGTCAGACTCTGCCTCATCAACATTGACCCCTCTTCTGTGGCTGCCAGGGAGTGGGAGCGGTGATGCCCCTGAATCAGACAAAAAGACATCATTACGTAGTGTTATCATGCTGTAAATGTGTGTGTGTGAGTGTGAGAGCGAGAGAAGGAAAGAGACTTGCCTGATGTGTGCGCTGACAGCAAAGGTGTTGGTTGGCGTTCTCGGAGGAAAAGTCTCCTGACCTCCTCCTTCAGTTCTGACACAGCTGTTCTGTTGTGAATTGCAATTTCAGTTAATTCACAGAAACACAAGCGACGAAACCCCAAACACACACTCACACTCGCACATGTACCTGATCTGGTGGACCTCTTGTTGTGTGTGAGAATACTGAGAGACCGTCTTTGCCAGATCAGTGCTGTGAACTCTGTAGCTGTCTGTCAGCTCCTCTAGCGTCTGAACAAAGCACACAAAGAAAAGGTTAAGGATCTGAAAGAATTCAAACCACACGTGCAGAAGCAAACACAACCTGGGTGATTTACTGTGTGTGTACCTTGCAGCTTTGTTCGTACTGTCTTCTGGTCTCTCTGGTTTCTGCCTGCTGAAGGAACATGTCCTCCCCTTGTCTCCCTGTCAACAGGAAAAAAAAGAGCAGATGTTGTGAACAAGACCGCTCTTGCCTTTGCTGCGGAGGCCAGCTTTGGGTTTGGCAGTCCCGCAGAATCAATGCAAGGGCATGATGTATGTGTGTGACTCACTTAGTTGTGCTTTCAGTTGGTCCACCTCTCTCCGCAGGTGTTCCAGCTCTTCTCGGCGAAGTTTTGAGCTGAAACTGTGGGAGAATAAAGAAAGTCGTGATAAAACTGTCTCATCATTTATTTTCTGTCACACCTGAAATGAAAGTGTCACCTTCCTGGTAGCAAACTGAGGAGTAAACATTTTCATTTCAGTCTCGAGCTGGACCTATCATCAGTTTAGTCTGCAGTTACGCCCCCCCAGCTCCACCCCTAATGCACCTCTCCTCCAGGTTGCCTAGCGACGTGGCTCTGGTGATGTGTCCCCGCAGACTGCTCAGCTCACGTCCAACCTCTCTCCTCCACTGCTCCATCCGTCTCTCTGCTCCTGGACTTTGTCCCCTCCTCGATTCGGCCCTCTCCCTCTCCCTCAGCTCCTCACGCAGCCTTTGAACCTCCTCTGGAAAAGAAGAGAGCGTTACTGTGGTGAAAGGATTTTTTTCTCCTTCAGCAGCCTTCAGGATAAATCCAAATTATTTATTAATGTTTTTAATTATAAATGAATCCTCCAGTGAGGAGCATATTTTGCTTTTTCAGACAGTAGAGGGGTGGCCAGTTAGTAGAGAAGGCAGAGACAGCTTTAGCAGGATCTGAACTTTAGGGCAGTGATGAGGCAGCGTTTATATACATAAATATGTAATTGTACATTTTTTCAGTTGGCAGACACTTTTGTCTGAGCAACGGACAAATGAGGTTTAATACAAGCCACAGCAGATCAAGGAAGACATAAAATATGACATCTTAGCCTAATTAATGTCAATAAATCTTGCTGGTGGAGGTGCTGATGCTCGACAAAATTCAGACCATATTTTCCTGTAAGTTGTCTCGCTTCATGTTGCAGTGAGAATTCAGATACTGGTTCCACTTCCCTTCGTCTCCCCTGAGATAAGCCAAAGGAAACTGACAGTATGCCGTCATCATAATGGAACTTGATCAGAGTGTGTACACTAAAAATTGAGGCATTGTTCATGCTTTTCTTTCCTGTTTTGAGCTGTAATTCAGTGCCCAATGAGACAGATGAAAAGCACAATCCAACCCAATAGGCAAATAATGCCAAGTAGCAGCTGCCAGTCCTCTGGATGAAGGCTATTTATGTTTTCTAATTAAGCCAACTATTTCATACAGTGTTGCATTTCAGCTATAACACAGTTGATCCTAAATGTTTAATAGGATACTGATGAACAGACATTTAAGAGAAAAGTTACAGCCATACCATCACGCAGAAGGAAGCATGCATCTACAGCTAGCTCACAGAGCACCATGGAGCTAGCCAACGTTACAGCTCAGTCAAGGAGGACGCCATAAATGTTTACACCTCACACTGTCAAGAGCCTCTTGTCCATGAGTAGAGGTCGTTTGGCGTGTGCACTTGATAGAATAAAAAAATACTTCCTACATCATGAACTGTTCACAACAAGGTTTGTAGATTATCTTGAGTAACAGGGTCATGATTTCTGGGAGACACATTGCTGTTGAGTTTTTAAAAGGTATTTTTTGGCACTTGAATCACATCAAGCTGAGTGCCATCTAGCTTCATTATATTTGAGAGAAGGCAGACGTCTCCACGGCCGATATCTTCAACACTTGGCAACTCACAGCAAAACAATCTAGACTGATCAATAGCTCCACAGGTAAGAAGGAAAATATGTGTTTTTGATTTAGGGGTGAGCTGTCCCTTTTGGGTTTATGAAATGACTGAGATAATCAAACAGAAGGAGGATTATTTTTCCACTGGGGACACACACAGCTTATACAAATAGTAATATATTAAATTGAGCAGTAAAAGTATCAGGGCCAGGGGAGGAGGCATTTCTGGTGTTGTTAGAGTTGTGTTTTGAATCAGAGAAGAAGACAGCTGGACTGTACAAAAATGAAGAGGCACAGTATGAAAGATTGGTCACCAAAAAAAAAAAAAAAATCTATGTTAGTGGAATCAACTTGTTTCTATGGCTAAACTGTTGAACAGTAACTGGATATTATATTTTGGAAGCCACAGACTTGTCAAAAATAAAAAATAAAGCAGCACACAGCAACTTGAAGATAACTTGGCAGTCTCCGGGCACTGTTTATTTTTCATATGTGACTTGTTATCTAAGTTTGGGTGTGACCACATTAAGCAGCTTTGAACTTGATAAGAACTCCTTTGTTCTAGTTGACAATAGCAGGAGGCAGGTGTGGGTGTATTTGTAAGGGGATAACATGACCCAGTGTAAACTGAGGGTAGTAGCCGTGGTGCAGCAGGTTACCTTGTAGTGTCTGGATGTGACATTGCTGAGTCTGTCTCTCCCTTTCCAAGTCATGGAGTCTCTGTGTGAGAGACTCAATCGCCTTGAAAACACATTAGGAAAGAAACACAGAGTTCTGTCAACGATAAACACTATCACACACACAACATACTTTTTGACTACTCTGTGGTAACTATTTGATCTTGTGCACCTGGCATAGTTAAACAAATATTCACACACCTGGCTCTGTATCTGGAGCTGTGATTGGATAGCAGCTACGTCTGCCCACTGAACAGCAGGACTGAGAGCTGCGGAAGGCTTTCGGAGAAGGGGGGATCGAGGAGGAAGAGCAGGAGGGACCAAATCTGAATCATGAGTCCTCTCCTTCACTGGAAACAAATCTGGAGAGGAAGAGGGATGCGTGGGAGGTTGAGCCAGAACCAAACAAGTTCAAACCAACATCCCTGCTATGGTTGTTTGCACTTTGCTCTGAAGTTTGAAAAGGTGGAAGTTACACACACATTCAAGAAGGTAATTTCCCCTTTCAGTCATATTTAGAAACTGATACTGGTCCACCTACCTTGGCCTCCTTTGGTGAACTTCCCCGGTGAAGTCAGCCTCTCCTGTGGAGACAAAAACATTTACAAACCACAGATAATATCCAAACTCTCACAATCAGTACGGCTCTGTCTTCTTTTAAATGTTAGTGGAGCATTACTGCCATCTACAGACAGCTCCACCAACTTACACCTGATCACAAGACAACAGTGAGGGCTCTCCTATGTTGTGCACTCCCTTCACTGATGCACAATAAAAAATAAACAATAAAAGCCACGCACACTTTAAAATGAGGAGTCTCTGCAAGGCTATTAAATTAGAGGAAAGCAATTTGGATCTACTCACCCTCATCTTTGCAACGCTGCCATCTGCTACTGACAGGATAGAGCTCAGCTGATTGTCCCAGTTCATGTCTGAGCTGCAGAAACAAACGCATCACTGATTAGCATCAGTCTAATTCTTGATCTGTCGTGCAACACAGCGCTGTGTGGCCTGACAGTGACGTTACAACACCAACCACCACTGTGAGACAGCGACACAGTAACTTTAGACGCGTTTTGTGGCTGGTCGGTGAGGTATCAACCCAGCAGAGATCTCTGACACTCTGTGAGGTTAAGTTACAGCAGACCTGGATATTTGCACGTTTTTAGTGACGCTTATCAGCGGCTGCTCCGGTGAATGTAGCCGTGGTGCCAAAATGTGCAGGCTGTCAGATACTGTAATGAACCTACTTACTCCAGGCCAGTGGGAATATCTCTGCAGCTTCCAGGATCAGATTGAACTGGAAGCGATGAAGTCAAGGACACTTCAGAGGAGGATGAGATGCTGGCCACCAAAGATACGCCACAACAAACACTACACGCGTCAACATAACGCTACGGGGCGTTGCAAACGTCAAATAGCTAATGTCGTGTTATTAACCGAAGCTAACTTCGACTTTTTAAAAAACCGCTAATGGCGTTACGCGACTGTTTGTTTGGCAAAATAATTTCCAACCGTTTCTTTGACAATGAGTGAAGTCTTATTTTAAATACAACAAACAACCTGCCGCTGAAACAGAATAAAATATATTTAATAAAGAGAACGACACTAACGTTTATGTTAGCTTGCTAGTCAGGCTACTCACAGAAAAGCTTGCGACTCCACTTTTAAATCCAGGAGCCCATAACGGCAACGTGATTGCGTATGACGTAGAACAAGGGTGTTCTGGGTATTGTAGTACACATAGTCTTTCCCCACAAAATTCGCTAAGTGCTTCGGTAGAAAGTCCCCAAAACATATTTTGATGTATATTGTATTATTTTTAAACGTTTTTTTTTCAAAAGAAGTCGTCGCATAAAAGGTAATATTCTAGTTTAATGTCTGATAGCGACCAGCCAAAGAACACCATATCCCACAATCCAAAGCGTTGTGTTGACAGACGCAAGAATGGCGGCTTCCACTGCCAATGTGGAAGGTATAACAAGACTGTTAGAGGACTATTTATCAAAACTTGGATTTGAAGTTTATCCTCTGAAGGTATCGTGGCACTTATTTCTTTCTCTTGTGTAGCCTTGACAACAAGGAGGGCTCCAAAGTGTGAAAATATATCAATAAAAACACTTAAATGTATCCAGCTGTTAACCTGCTCGCCATGTCTGAGGAGTTAAAGACAGTAAAATGTGATTATGTCGGTGGAATAGTTTCATTTTTGACAGCCGATTAAAGGTTTATTATTTTCCCAATCCATTTGAATTAATTTGAATTGTTTGAATGAATTTTCTTGCTTTACATTAACCAGGTATGGCCTCACTGAGATCTCGTTTTCAAGAGGTCTCTGTACATAAAATAAATAAATAATAAATAAAAACAAAAAACAAAAAATAAATAAAATTTGAAATTAAAAAAATTAAAATTTAATTTAAATCTAAATTAATTAATTAATTATGAAACGCATAAGAGTGATTGCAAATACATAAGTACAACCTTTTTATAAAATGATATATGAGATTGTAACTTCATGTTGCAGAGCTTCACTGTGTTTGTATGCAGTATAGTATTTGAACTCAGTATTTTTCCATGTTTACAAGAGGTACAGCTGATGTTAAAAAGTCCTGTGACCTGCCACTGTAGAGCTACATTTTTGTTCTGTATTTCTGTACTGTATTGTCTGTCTGTAATTTCTGATCTTAAGAGGTTTTTTGGTTAAATAAAATAAATAAACAAATAAAAAAAGTACTGTATATAAATGTAACCAGAGAGCAGAGGTAACTAATAATAATGATACTACTAACTTTATTTTATATAGCACCAGTCATACAAGAAATGCACAAAGTGCTTTACAACAAGGAAATTACAGATCATGACAGGGAATAAATGTTAAATGAAAACAGGGATAGAATTTCATTCTCAGTGTAAAATAAATACAAGTACAAAATACTGCAACTAATGTAAAATAGGATGGAAAATTAAAATACACCTGACAATAACAAGAAGATAAGGTAAGATTAAAGTAACGTACATATAATGCATTACACAGTGCAGTGGAGCCTTTTAAACCAACACAATACAAAGTTTCTGCCTTATGTTTTTAAAGAGGACCTTCTCACCTTTTCATATATAAGATGCAGCAAGTGAGAAATGTACGAACTGTGATGAATAAACTGTCTGTTACTGCCTGTGTGCCTCTCTGTGTCCCTCCATGTTCCCAGGTCGGTTGGTATAACTCTGTGCTGTCTCCCACCCTGCGCCTGGCTTACCCTGATGACAGCCTGGCTGTGGTGGTGCTCAGCACTCCTGCGATGTTTGAACAAGCCTTCCTGCCCTTCATGGAGGAGAGGGGCTGCCAGGGGCTCTCTGACCCCATAGACCAGTGTGTCAAACACTGCGTCTCCTCTGCTGTCTCAAAGGTGAGTCTGTGTGAGTGAATAACCTCACCTTAAAAGTGACAGACAGACAAGAAACATATTTGTATGACTGGTTGGGGATATGGGTGAGCAATTATGATTAAATTCTTTTATCACCAAATCTGTAATTTAATATTACAATATGAATTTTGACATAGTAAATCGTCTGGAAGCTCAGATGGTTTTTGGCAAAAAAAAAAAGCTGATGTGTAAATATTTTGTGTACACTACAGTATCGTCACAGTATCAATATTGAGATATTTGGTCAAAAATACTGTGGTATTTTATTTTGTCCATATCGCCTGAACCTAGTCCAATAATGGAGGTATTTAAGGATAGATATCACACAAGGCTGGATGCCAAGTGGAGAAAAGCAGGCAACTCGCCCCAGGTTCAAAGAGGGCCGTTTGTTTTGTAGTAATTTAATGAGTTGTAAATTTGTTCTCAAATATGACATTCTTAAATATTCTTTTGAAAATGTGATTGCCAAAAACAACTAGACATACAATCCATGGATCCCTGTGAAAAATAATGTCATGTATTATCCTACCTTAATGGGTAGGAAGACAATAAGGACCCACATGATTATTTTTGCATCGCAGCCTCATAGTGTGTAGCTGACCATAAATGCTATATCGAAGGCAACTGGACTGCTCATATAGCACTTATGATTGACCTGGATGACTGAGAATCTTCACAGATGTGTAGTTGAAATTATAAGGCAAAAAATCTGACGGTAAAAAGAAAGGCCTGCACACGTACTCCATGTCACAACAGTTTAATCGACACTACTTGGATCGTCGTCAGGTCAGAATGCTCAGTGTTCATGACCTGATGAAGATCTGAGTGGAATTGACATGTTGTCTTTATTAAACTTTTGCGGCATGGAGCAGGCTAAGTTTGCAGGTGTTATATTTTTCCTTGATGTATGCTGTTTTTTGGTAGCCTTGCACCTACAGTATGTGATCTATGTGATAAATCTCTGATGGTCTCACAGTATATGTCATCATGTTATCTAACCCCAGTGGTTCCCAACTGGTGGGTTGTGGTCCAAAAGTGGGTCGTGAGTCTATACTGAATGGACTGCAAGTGACTCTGAGTTGTGTTGAGTTCGTAAAAACACCCTTCATTTTGAAGTACAGTGAATTTCTGGCACAGAGCTTTTATTTTGAAGTGACATATCCTGCGGTAGAGTGAGTGACTAACAGACAGCTACTCAACAGAGACAGCAAACCAGCTCGACGATATGGACAAACACAAGCATGACGCTGAATTTCTTGACCTAATGACTGAGGAGAAATCTGGACCCCATGGCTGCACCAGTTGGAAACCACTGACCAAACCCCAGTGAGGGATAAATTTGCATTTTTGGCTAGTTTCATAATGAAGTTGGGACACCTAAATATGCCCCCTTCCTCTTCCTCTTCCTCTTCCTGCCCTGCAGTGTTTCCCAGGACAGGAGGTGGATGTGAGGTACGACTACGAGCTGCTGCCCAGCAGGAAGCCGAAGTTCTTGGCTCAGACTGCAGCTCACGTATCCGGAGCAGCTTTCTACTACCAACAGTCTGATGTCACAGACCAACCCTGGGCTGAGAAAGTAAACGTTCATTCATAAGCATCTAAATGGTTGCTGTTGAATTAAGCTGTTTCCATACCTCTGTTTCATGCATCTCCCTCTGTTACCTGCAGAAGATGTTCGGAGTGTGTGTGCATCCGAGGTTCGGAGGCTGGTTTGCCATCAGAGCCCTGTTGGTGTTTGGCGATGTGACGGTGGGCACTGAGACGGTGCAGCCTGCTCCTCCGGACTGTGTGCCGTCCAGAGAGGGCAGGATACAGCTGCTGGAGGCTTTCAACTTTCACTGGCAGGTACAGGACCTCAGCACTCTGAGATATAACGCCTGTGACACACACAGTCATTGGACCGAACCGTTTCATGTCAAAGACTTTCAGACTGATGGCCTTTAAATAAGAGACCCCCGTCTGTGGGGGTTTTGTTGTCACATGGGCCCCCAACCTGGGAAGAATTCACTTGTTTGGTCCCTCTGTTTGTACTGTAGGTGCTGAGATGGGAATAAAGAGGGAAGCTTGTGATGTAATGCAGTCTGTTTTATGAGGATATAAAGTCTAGTTTTGACACAAAAATAAAACTAAATGTTATTTTAATCAAAAAAATAAAATAATTAAACCTAGATTTAGGTCAAACTGGGACAGCTTGCGATTATGAATACACTTTCCTGAAGTACCTGTGTACGTTTTAATGTGTTTTCATCATGTAATGAAATATATGATAACTCAAAGGTTTAATCAGAGACATTTTGCCCCATCAGGACTGGAGCTACAGAGACATTGTCCGTCCGGTTCAGATCTACTCTCAGAAACAGAAGGACTACTTTTCCACTCCTCCTGCTCAGCGGTTTGCTCTGCTTAAGTCTTGGGGCTTCGTGCCGTGTGACAGCGATCAACCTGCTGAGACCTCAGACGCACAGAGCCAGGTGACGGGACACGGCTGACAGCGAAGAGCAGCCACAGCGAGGAAGCACAAACCTTCACTGCTGAGCTTGTGAAAGGTACAAGGGATACTTTCAGGGACTTGAACATTTACTGCTATATGTCCTCTATGTGATCCGTTTCATCATGTGTACACCACATATTTTCACACTACTGATTATAAGCAGCTCTTCACACGGTGTCATCTCAGAAATCTGAACAGACTCAAATGTATGAGTGCTTTAATGCTGCTGTTGCAAACCTTGTTCATGTGTTTAAATGAAAAAAGAATGCACCTTGTATCCTTGTTGGTTGTGTCATATTGTAACATACAAACTACAGATGTTTAAGTGTCAACGGTGACTTTTTACTTTGCACATTGTTTCATGTGAAACAGTCTCAACACAGAGGGCTTTAAGGAGCCCCTTATCATCAGCCTACCTTAAATGTGTCTGCATATGCTGGCACTTGATCACAAAGACAACAATCACTCTTTTATTTAATCTAATTTCTAGAAAATTTCCATTTGAAGCCATAAAAATAAACAATACAAAATAATGAAGAAATGTTTGACTCCATGGATCTGATTTGCACAAATGTCAGACTCTGCTGCCAGTTTGTATATAAAAATTGAGCATACAAACAAAATGAGGGAAATAATGACCCCCCACTAAAGAAGAAGAAGAAGGATTGGTTCTTCATTATCGGAAAACAAACATGATGTGTTTACTGTCCTCTGGTGGTGTTTAGCGAAGCAGGTTTAATTAATTAT